GAAACCATAGCCCACTGCTCAACACCAACATTAACAAATTAAGAATGAAGTGTCTCCTAGTACTACAGAAAACCAAGAAAGAGCTCCTTCTGCACAGAGCCTACTAATTGACTATCACCAACAGAACTCGACATTGAACAAATCTTCAGGTTCCTTCTCCTTTGACCGCTTAACTTTGACACCATGTCCAGAGATTGATGATCAAACAATATGACAGAAAGTTTCCAATAATGAAGTTACTTCCACATTCCTTTGTGCGTCTTGTAGTACGGATTTTACAAATTTGGAAAATGTAACAACAAGGCACAACCGCATTAATCCTGCAAGCAACAATAGAGTTCAACCTTAATTGGAAATCCCAGAGAAGTTTTAATACATTCTAAAGCAATTAGGGACATGTTTCTCTAAGAAAGGAAAGCCATTTACCACATTGCTTACAGGAGCAGACATATGGAATGAAGACGGAAAGCATAATAAATCTTTGCCTTCTTCCCAATTATCGTTTGAATCCGCGTGTGCCTATAAATTGAGACAAAACAACACACATCAGAGGAGAAGAGAACGAACTCACAAAACCCCCAATTTCAAACACACAGAAATTCACAGATATCAAAAATCCACAAACAGTTCAACACAAAAAATCCCAATTCGAAACATCAGAAATCCACAGAAAAAGAACCCAAATTGTAAAATTAAAGAAAGACTTATCTTCACCCTCAAATTGGCCGCTTGCATCCACGCTCTCAAAACCTCAAACCTCCGCCGGAATCGCCTCAACTCCATTGCAACCGCTTGCGTGAATCCACCAACCACAATCAACCACCACCACCAGAAACCCATTCGCTACCGCCATTGAACCGGCAAAGAACATCAAATAGTGGGTTTTCGTTTAACTAACCTTGACAATTTATTTGATTTTTTTGTTGGTTTTGTAGGAAATCAGAAGATGAAGAAGTTGAGGAGAAGAAAACGGAGGAAAACGGAGAAGCGAGAGAGAAAGATTGAGGAGGAAATGCGAGGAGAACGAAGAGGGAGAGAGAGCGGCGGAGAGAGGGATCGTTTTTAGGGATTTAGGGTTTCCATGTTCTTTTTTTTCTTTTTTGTTTTTTTTTATGATACTGTAATCGTGTAATGCACCCACACACTAGTAGTAATGCACCCACACACTAGTAGTAATGCACCCACGCACTTCACCCTCAGATCTCCAATGGATCTGATCTGACGATTCACACCCGCGCACCCATCATAATCCGCACGCCTGCGTCATACCAGAGCCGTCTTCCCCTTAATTAATCTTAATTAACCCTATTTAAACTAATAATTCGTTTTAGATTAATATAATAATAACTTTTTTTAAATTAATCAACCTAATTAACCTAATAATTAATCTCTAAGTCTAATTAACTAAATAACTTTTTTTATAATTAAATTTAACTAAAACCAATTTTTATAATTAATTCTCTCAACTTTATTAATGATATTATTATGAATTCATAATTCTTTTTTTCTCATTTTTATAAATAAAAAGCCTTCTTTTTTTAATTTAAAAAAACCCTTTTCTTTAAAATAAATTAATAACCTTTTTTTTATTTTAACCGTTTTTCCAACCAATTAATCATTAACAATAAAAACTATTTCTATAATTTATTTAGTTAGTGCTTATTTATTAATAATGGCAAACTACTTTATTCTAATAAGATTTGTTAACTTTAATATTTAATAATATCAATCAAATGCATTTCGTAATAATCTATTTAGTTTATTTAGTTTATAATAATCTTTCATTTAAATTAACCACTATTAATATAATAATAACTAAAATGTTTTAAAAAACTAATTAACTTAAAATTTAAATTCACGATTAAAATTAATATAACATTTTCTTACAAACTAAGTCACCCTTTAACATAACTTCTCTTAAATTAATCTTCTTAAAATCAATTCAACCATTTCTCTTAAAATCAATTAAACCTCACCAATTTCATCAAATAACATGTTTTCTCAATCCCAAATTAAAAATCAATTTCCTAAAATAAATCAACATCTAATCGTGCACGCTTGCGCCTCGCTTTGGTCCGTTCACACATTCACAATTCACTTTCACACACTTAGCGCTTTCATGCGTGTGTATGTTTTATCTTTACTCGCAATTTATCTTCCGCAATTTACATTATCAATTTACTTTCCTCGCATCGCATTCCGTCCAAAGGAAAAACCTACACATGATTCAACAATTGTGTGTAGTGCATCCCATTTGCATCATTCTCCCACTTGATACTTGATCCCATTCAAGTTGATCTTTTTAAGTTAGATCCTATCCCATAGAAAAGACCATTATCTTTACAACTTAGATACAAACAAAACAACTCAACAATATAACTTCAAACACAATAGAGAAATAGATGTTAATCATCTTAAGCGAGATAGAATCTCCACCCCACAACAATTACAATCAATACCGTAAGAACTTTGCCTTAAGAGAGATAGAGGCGTAATTGTCGATCAATATCTGAGTACTTGAGCCTTCTCTTAAGACGATGCAAAGACTATTTTCCTACAACCTTGTGGCGGTTAAATCTCCCTTAAAATGACAACTCGTCTCCTTCTCCTAAAATCAATCAATCAACTACCCTAAATCCGTAGGAACTTTGACCACAGTCAAAGAACTCCTCAAACCCTTTAGGGGAACTACAAATACTCTGATTCTACTCCCGTAAGGATATGTAGGCATAAGATGCGACATCTTATCGAGTATACTTAGAAATAAACCCCTAGGTCTTTCCACCATTAAGCAGATAACACATAGCAATAAACACATTAAAACAAGAGGTTCCTGTAGAGTACTACAGAAACTTAGGATGCTAGCACCTTCCTTAAGTTTAACCGACCCCCGAACCTATAACTCTCTAGCTTGCATTTGCATTGCATTGTGGGAATTTCGATTTTTATCCCTTCCTTTGGACAAATCAAAATTCGGTTGCAAAAATGAATTAAAGATTCAAACTAATCAATAGTTTGGTATCCAAATTTCACCGCGACAATACCTGTAAGGTAAATTATGTCGTATCATTAGTGTAGACAACACAAACAAAGAAGCAAACAAAAAAAATAGACTGCAGGATTTTTCGGAGATACATCTCTGGAAACACCTTAAATCATTTTACTTTGAATACTTCCGGAGATGCATCTATGGAATATTCCAGTATATGAAACACTAAACAATTTCACTCATAGGTCGCGACAGTGGCGTCCTCTACTACTTGCATTGTGAAAAATAAACATTTGATCGTCCTTTTGAGCCAACAAACAATGCATACACTAACTCTAAACAATATTACATATGGTTTCTACACATTTCTACCCCTAACAATTGATTTCTACTCGTTTACACTATAACTCGAATATTTACCAAGAATCAAAAAACATATCCGAAATTTTTTATTTGAATGTTGTTGAATGATGAAATGGATGATGTTTGTTGTTTCCTTGGACCTCCTATTGGTGAAATCTAATTTGGTGAAGTTGGAGAATATTGAGAATGAGAAGAGTTGACGAGTTGGGTTTGAAGGAAAATGAAAAGTGTGGGTGGAGAAGAGTCTGACGTGATATTAACTAACAAAATGTTTTGGAGATACATTTCTAAAATATTTCAACGTTCATTTAAATTTTGGTGCGTCCGGAGATATATCTCAAAATCAGACGGTATTTTTGAAATTTCAGTTGGTGCGGTAGAAATACATAAGATGGAAAAATAAATCCTCTAAAAGTATAATGAACAATCTTTTTTTTTTGAGAGGTCTAAAAAAAAGAGTTTGGGCCGCCTAATGTCTAATGCTTGTGTCGTTCCTGACTATCCATTGTGTTATATTATAGTTCCTCCAATAAAAATAAAATAAAAAAACATTAAAATTTTCTATCGGAAATGTTTTAGTTTCAGTATGATTTTATATATGTTACACCATTCTGTGGCGTGTGGCTACCAGCGTACCACTGCCTAAAGATAATTTTGTTACACCATTCAGGAATAGCATGAATTCTGGTATAGTAAGAAAATGTACGACTGTCGTTACTTGCTGTGTATTTTACTATACCATAAAAGCACAAATGTCCATAACCATGAGACAAAAATGTGTTAAATGACCAAGCTCCAAAAGACACTTGATGTGTGATTGCAATTTGTTATGTTTATGTATAACAAAAGTCTTCATCTCATATTTTTACTGATGTGTATGAAACTAGAAGGTTGAATGGAAGGCTTAGATTATCAGATATATATGCTTTCAATCTTTCCTTCAATAATGTGAAACTATGCATGCTATTTGAGTGTAAAAGACATCCTTTCAAAGTTTCACCTTATACTAACAGGTGCTTTGAAAAGGAAGGTTTGTGTCTGCAATTTGAATCTAGAAATCAATAATTTCACAAGCTGCCATTTGAAACCTTCATATTTGCGACAAATCTTGAAGCACAACATGATATGCATTTTCTGTGAAAGTTCCTTGTATGAAGGTTATTGTTTGACAAAAGTGATGAAATGGATGTATCTGCGAGTGATCTTTTGACGAGACTTCAGAGTCCTCGTCACAATTCAAGGATTTTGACAGAAATGTTGAGTCTTGGTAATCACATGTTTAAAGAACTTAATAGTAATTCTTTGGTAAAATTTATAAAAAATTCAGGTTCTGCCAAGTTGCATCACATTCAAAATTCAATAGGCAAAAAACTTAATATAGAAATGGACATGAAAAAAAAATTAACAATTCATTACACCACTTAATCATAAATTGAATAACATGCGGTCGCTTTTGGCATAAGCGCAATTGAGAAAATGTTAACAGCTATCTTCTCCACCTAAAGATTAAGCTAATCTATTTGATCTTGGCCTGAAGACACGGGCTTTTACTAAAGCGAAGAACAAGAAGCAATGCGTCTACAAACAGCGAGCTACAGCAGCTACAGTTAGTACCTTCATAAGGGTAGCATTTTATCAGAAACTTCAATCAATTCAAACCATGATATCCTGCCGAATCCAAAAGTACTGCTTTAATTTGCTCGGGGGGAATATCCTGACCTTCTCTGCATTGCTGCTAAGAAATAAAGAGTATAAATCAAAACCATAAATGGTAGAAAGAAAGCCAATAATACTTAACTCAAAACATTTAAACTCAAAACACTTCAAAACAAACAACCTAGAGAGGCAAATAAACATCAATGGGCAAGCATCATAATAACAGAAAGTAAGGAAGGCTAATATCAGATATGTTTGAGTGAAATTTGGAACTCGAGAAAGAGCTATACCTCGGCTCTGAAAACATCCAAAGCAAAGCCATTGAAACAACTAATAACAGCTTGTTGAACATCCAATCCAAGGTTATCCAAAGCCCTCATGGTAGAAAGCAAAAGTCCCGGTCTTCGGGTACAAAACATATGAATGTTGACGGCTCTCCCTTCCCTTACCCTAACTTCCACCTGTAAATTTCAGAAACAGTCAAAACAACTTCCTCAATTGCCATGCAAATAGTTTGCATCCATGAACATACACTTGTTTGCCGTGTTACTGATCTATATGAAGGAAGTCATGAGTTGTCACGACTGTAATTTACATGGTTCGCAAACCACAAGCTACAAATATGACAGTTTCTTAGAACAAATTCGCATTAAGACAAACTAAAGTTACCTTAGGAGATTGGTTTTTAGGGCTTAGCAAGTCATTAGGATATAGATCTTCTTTGACTCGGCAAGGAAGGGTCGGCGGAGTGGGTGTCAACGGGTGAAAGCTTGCACTTGCAGAAGGTTGCAGCAATGAGCCAGGAGGAGTTGATTCCAGTTCGTTATGAAGATTGTTAATCCGCTGCAGTAGCTCCTTCAAGTAGTCAACTGCATCACCAAGTATCGAAGCCCTGTCCATCTACGATGAACAAATGAAAATACCCAAAATTAGCCTGATCTACTTCCTAAGTTGTATTCCTATGCTACCATTAACACAAGCAACAAGATGGCATCTAGTAAATAGTCTAATCACGACATCAAGGTAAGATTATTGATATTTTTACAAGCGCGATTAAGGCTGCATCAGTCGCATTTGACAACAATTCGCTGCGATATCAAGAATCAAAACTTAACTACAACCGTTATCACAACCTCAATTTAAACCTTGATAGAAGCTAATATAGCAAACAAAACTTATGAAAGAAAAAAAAGGAATGATTTTCTTCTTCAATACCTTGCTAATCTTTGGAACAACAGACCTTAGCATATACAACCTATCATTGAGTTTCTTCCTCCGACGCCTCTCCGCCATGAGATTTTTTGCAGGAAGCCCTTTCTTCTTCTTCCCCTTTTGATCTCCACCAGTAACAACAGTCCCATTGGAATTGTTCAAATCATTTCCATTCTCATCAGAATCATAATTCAACTCAGAAAAATCCTCAACATCATCCTCACCACCACCATTTCCATCTTCTTCCCACTTCTTCTCCACTTTTCTCTTCTTCTTGTTCCCCACCGTCTCCAACCTCGGAATCTCCAACGCCCCTCGCCGCTTCTGAAACAGTGTCGTCGGCTGTTGCTGCTGCTGCTGTTGAGGTTGCGGTTGAGACAGCTCAAGAGGCATAGAAAAAGAAGCACTAAAAGGTGCTACAGAAGCATCGAGTTCAAGACTCGGTGGAAACTCGGAAGCGGAACTCAGGTCAAGGGAGCCACCCATAAAAACAGGCGAATTGGAAGCGTTGGTGTTATTGTTTCCCATAAAGAATCCATTTTCGAATCCCATCTCAAAAGGGTTATTATTGTTGTTGGTATTGTTGAAGAAGTAGTTGTTGTTGTTGTTGTGGAAGAAAGGGTGTGGATTTGAAATTGAATCCATGGTGTTTGTGTTTTGGTGCATGAGAAAATTATCATTAGTTGAAGTATGATTTGAAACAAACGGAACAACGTTGTTGTTGTTGGTGGTTGTTGTAGTAGTGGAGTTGAGGTTATAGAAGTTATCAGGTTCTGGTTTGAAGAAAGGGAGAGAGGTAGTGGAAGCAGCCATGGCAATAGCAATGGCAATGTCTTGGTCGTTGGTGTTGAGTTTAGGTTCGGAGTTAGGTGTGGACCATGATGAAGGTGATTGTTGTTCTTGGTGTTGTTGTTGTGGTTGAGTCCAAGGTATAGTAAGAGAGTTGTGAAGTCCTTGTGGTAAGGGTAGCGTGTAACGTTCCATGAGAGACAAAAAAGGTGAAGAGGTTATTGTTTTGTTTGATGAATTGTGTGAAGAATGATGAGGGAGTTGAGAACGTTCTTGTGTTTGTGTTTATCTTGTGTGTGGAAAAGAAAAGAAAAGAGGGAATGGAATGGCTGGTTGAGTGAGTGAGGTTTATCTATCCAAGCAAGTGTGTCTGCAATCTGCATGTGCTTGCTTCCCTTTCTTGCTAAATTAACTTCACCAATTTATACAACCACTATTCTTTACACAAATGTTCAACACTAATTAAGAGAGGGATAATTAAAGGGTTAAAGAAGGAAAATCGGGTAAAAAGTAGGGATGGTAAAATAGGTTGGTCCGTTCGATATGTCTGTTTTGTCTGTACTTTTTTGTGGGACGAGTCAGAGTGTTAGTCTCACACGTTCTAATATATAGGGTCTTAGTCCTGCATACTCTAATATATTCGTCTCGTCCGTCCGTTTTCCAGGCCTTTTGCGAGCATAAATATTAATATAAAAATTTATAATTTGTAGGGTCTTAGTCCTGCATACTCTAATATATTCGTCTCGTCCGTCCGTTTTCCAGGCCTTTTGCGAGCATAAATATTAATATAAAAATTTATAATTTTTAAACTTAAAACGTACATGCATGCGAGACAATCTCGTCCCTCACTAATTTTTTTTAAAATAGGACAAATTTTAAGCCTATATCTCAACAAAGTCCGTTTTATCCGTCTTACTTTTTATGAATTTTTGCAAGCGAGTTTAAACGAGATATTTGTCACTTCTAATAATTTTTATAATTTTCAGGTCATAAAACAAGCACACTCTTATTTAACGTCATATTTGTTTTTTATATGTTTTTTAATATTTTTATTTTTTAATTCTTTTTTATTATTTATTTTTTTCAAATGAATAAAAATAATTAATATTTTATTCAGATAAATTAACTTACTTGATAACTATACAATTGTCTATTTATTATTTTAAAAAAGAAAATTTTGATCATTAAACCAATTAAAATAAAATAAAAAATCAATTTTTTTATAGTATTAACTCTGAAATAAAAAGTATTGACATAAAAGGTTTTTATCAAAATATAAATTATCATATTTTGTATTTGATAGTTTAACATACACTTTTTTTTATGAGTAACACACCTTATAAGAAACACATCACATATTCACAAAAAATCATAAAGTGATAAATGTGTGGGTTCTCTCACTCATAAATATTCAAATCTCAATTTTTCTAATCAATGTGAGACATCCTCACACTTTGTTTCTCAAAGTTATTAACTCACATTTACTTTTTCTCATCACTTTCCCTTAAGGGCGAGTTTATCCACATACTCTATCTCAAGCGTAAGCTCTTTTATCCACATACATTATATCGTTGTTGACACTTTTCAACGGGACATCTCCTATACACCACCTGTGGGAAGTACCTTCGATACAAGAAAGTCAATCTCTCACTCGAACCAAAGTTTTGTGATATTATTGTTGGAACATTTAGTTCGAAGTTAACATGAAGGAGCATTTTTACATTCATTAGGGAAATTTTCTCCACAAGCAACACACATTTAAGAGACACGTCACATATTCACCCAAAATTGTAAAGTAAAACTTTTTCATAATTTTTTTTCTCAAAGTTTTAAGTCACGCTTACTTTTTCTAGACCATTACATTAAAAATATTAAATAAAACTAACTATTATTTTCAATATATACATGATTAGTTATGTCACACATATTAAAAAAAAGAAATAAATAAAATAGAGAATAATATTTTTGCTAAAATTTTTTTTATCAAATATTAAAGAATAAAATTGAAATAAGTGTATTAAAAATTAAAATTAATCATTTATTTTAGAACATTTTTATTTTATTTTAAATGAATCACTCAATGTTAGACACATTTCAATTGAAATTCACAATTTTCAAATTGTTTAGGCATCAATTTAATTACAACTATATACAGTTTAAAAAAAAAATGGAAAATTTTGACATCAATTAGAACGATAATTATATTTCTTCAAACAATGAATTTAAGTCGACAATCAAAAGACCTCTTTACCTATTTAAAAAAAAGAGATAAAAACAAAATAATCCTTAAAATAGATCATAACTATATAAAACAAGTAATATGGAGGGAAAAAAAAAACAAATGAGAAAAATATGTATTATATCGTATAATCAATAAAGAATGCACTTTATTTTAAAAATAATTCTTTATTTTAATTTCTATAATTTCTCCCTACACTGGAATGTAACATATTTTCTCTAATTAGTAATTATTATTAAAACAAATATTTTATTTTTAAATTTAGTAAATATAAATATATTTTTTTTAAACTTTAAATACAGATTATATATATATATATATATATATATATATATATATATATATATATATATATATATATATATATATATATATATATATATATATATATATATAATTTATAAATTTTGAAAAAATAATATTTATTTATAATAATGACAAGAATACTTAGCATATCATTATACATAGAATATTATGCATTTAGCATTGACTTCATTGATGTGAATGTGGTTTATAATGAATATTATGCATTTAGCATTGACTTCATTGATGTGAATGTGGTTTATCTTTGTTAGAATTACTTGTGTTGCAAGATAGTTACTTGTAACACAATTTAGTTATAAAGTTGTTATGTTTAATGAAAAATAATTAAGTTGATTGAGCAATACACCTTGATCGATATATAAGTTGCATAATCATTTCTTGGAAACTACCTGTTGCTTTTAGTCAAACAAGCTTACATTCCTTCCATTCATATTCATTCTTAAGTTTGATTGTTTTTATTTCATTCATAATTAATAGTATACTCTAATAAACTAGCATTAATATGATATAACTTTCATTAATAATGAATTGAAGCACAACCTCAAATTAGTTCTCAACAAACTTATCAATTTTTAAAGAAAAACAATATGATAGGTGATGCTCGCAAATGAAGGTTTTAAAATATTCTTGAAATATTGAATGATGATGTTGTGAATAAGATGTATTGAAATAAAATATAAACGGTTTTTTTATGATCAAGAAATACACAGGGGTTAAGGTTAACAAAGAAAACAAGTAAGAAGAACAAGAAGAAACAACAAGGATTGGTTATAAATTGTTATTTTTTTTCTTTATCTATCAAACCAAGCTTACAAGTATACAAGAGTAACAAATAACCTCTCTCTCTTGAATTAAAATTTTATCTTCCTATTTTTCCTTATACAAGATGAGAGATTAGTATGCTATTTATAAGAAAAATAGCACACTAACCTAATGGGATTTTCAACAATTACCCATTACAAGCTAACTTTAGGTATAAGATAACTTAAACAATTAGGCTTACAAGCAAGACCCAATTCAACATGCTAACAAACTTAACAATATTGACTAATGCATGTTAGAACAAACTTCGACTACAACACGCGTTACTCGCGAACAAACTTCGATCATACTAGAGTTCTTCATGCAACTTTATAAACTGCATACAGTGGAAAAACTTGCAACTGGGCAACGTCTTGGTGATCATATCAACAACATTATGATTTATTGAAACCTTCAGCACTTGGACTTCTTCACGCTCGATTACTCCTTTGACGAAATTTAGCCTCACATCAATGTGCTTGGCTCGCTCATGATAGGCTGGATTCTTTGACAGGTGTATTGCACTTTGACTATCACATTTAACAATGATAGTACGACCTTGAATTTTCAGCTCCTTTGCAAAACCATCAAGTCATAATGCTTACTTCACAACTTCAGTTAGGGCGATATATTTCGCTTCAGTTTTTGATAAGGCAGCGGCCTTCTGAAGTGTAGCTTTCCAGCTGATTTCTATCCCAAACATATTTAACACATATCCATAAATAGATTTCCTGGAATCCATACAACCTGGATAATCAGAGTCGACATATTCTTCAATTGCTGCTTTACTATCTTCACCCAAGGTTCCACCATAAATTAGGACTCTATTCAGAGACCCGTTTATGTACCTTAGAATCCATTTCAATGCTTGCTAGTAAGCCTTTCCAGGATTCTCCATGTACCTGCTTACAAGACTTACTGCATATGTTATGTCGGGTCTAGTACAGACCATATCGTACCTCAAAGAACCCACTATATTAGCATATGGAATGATATTCATATAAGTTCTTTCGACATCTGTGTTAGGACACTGATCTATACTCAACTTAAATTGAGGGTTTTTCGGAGTCACAACATGCTTTAAATTCGACATACCATACTTTTCGAGAATCTTCCGTAGGTATCCTCTTGAGATAAGCATAATTTCGATTGTTTTCTATCTCTTCGAATTTCAATCCCAAGAATCCTGGACGCAGCTCACAGATCCTTCATGTCGAACTCCTTAATGAGTTCATCCTTCACCCTCATTACATATTCGACATTGTTGCTTGCTATTAGAATATCATCCACATAAAGTAACATAATGACAAATGAATTACCAGGACGGAATCTTAAGTAAACATAGTGGTTGAACTGACTTCTAATGAAACTTATGTGTGCCATAAACTTATCAAATCTCATATTCCACTGTCGAGGAGATTGTTTCAGTCTATATAAAGATCTATTTAGTTTGCGCACATAATCTTTCTTCCCTTTTTCGACATACCCTTAAGGTTGCCTCATAAGAATTGTTTTTTCTAGATCACCATACAAGAACGCAACCTTCACATTCATATGTCCCAGTTCAAGGTCGAACTGGGCCCCTGTGCAAGCAACATTCGAATGGATAAGTGCTTCACAATAGGAGATAATACATTATTGACATCGACACCTTCTTTCTTAGTGAACCCCCTAGCGACCAATCTTGCCTTGTATCTGTTCGACGCCACTCCTTCGATTCCTTCCTTAATTTTGAAAATCCACTTACAGCTGACTAACATGGCTCCAGCGGATTTCTTGACCAGTTCCCAAATGTTGTTATCATGAAGAGATTTTATTTCATCATTCATGG